CCCGGGGAAGGTGCGTGGGGCCCGGGTGGTCGTGCCCCGCGCCGGGGCGGTGGTGGTGGTGGGGGGGCACGCGGCTGTCCGGGAGGTGGGGGATTGCTTCTCGTCGGTTGTGCAGCTGCAGACTGAGGTCTGCTGGGGTTTGGTAAGAGTGTTAGTTGCGCTTGTAGCATGTCTTGAATTGTTGCCTAAACAGCCATTTCCTCCTGTAGGGAAGAGGCGCTACGATAGGAAGCAAAGTGGCTATGGGGGCCAGACAAAGCCCATCTTCCGTAAGAAGGTGAGTGCCGCCACTGGGAGGAGAACCTGAAACTTTCTTGGCCATCTGCATAGCCAGCTGAAGAGGGGCAGGCACTTCAGCCTCCTGCAGCCTTGTGGTGGTCCTGTGCTCAAGCTGTGTTACGGCAGCTCTGTGCTGGTAGTGCTGTCTGAGGAGTGTAAGTTTTTCATCCTCATCTGCTGACCTTCCCTGCTGCTTCTGTCTTACGTAGATGCTCCTTTTTTTGCAGGAGTGACATAGTATGTGTTTGCAGAGCAGGTTCTGCAGGGAGCGTTGATGCTGTAGGGGAGCAGGGTCTTACTGGAAGTGATGCTTTTAATGAAAGGAGTGTTTCCCTCATTGCTGGCCAAAGGGGAAGAGTACGGTGAAGGGAAAGGCAGCCTGCTGCTTGCTTTTCTTATGTTCTTGAAACGTTAGTAGTTTGTCGCTGAAATTTTTTGTGGGGTTTGTGAGGCTCTGCATAGCGAGGCTGTCTTCACTGACAAGGGTACGATAGAAGCGAAGCGTGTGCAACTCCTGGGGGTACCGCAGAACACGACATCGTTTTCTTGCAGCCTGCTGTCTCCAAGGAAATCCATATTGCTGAGCCAGTAAATGAGAGCTGTTGCGTTAGGCCTTTCCTGAGAGTCTCAAAGCAGCAGTGGAAGGGCAGCAGTGCATTCTGTTACAGATGAGTTGCAGAAGCCTGCTGCTGTCATCCTTCCTCTTCAGTGTGGGTACCTGGAACTGTAGTCTTGCAGCGTGTTTTCCCTCTGTGCCTCTACATACCTCCTGCCAAGGAGCTGGGGGTGGGGGCAAAGTCTGTGGTACTTAAAGCAGGGAAGCAAAACCCGATGGGCTGATTTGTTACAGTTTTTGTGTGAACCGTTTAGTCATAGCACTTATAGAGCTACTTGGCTCACTGCTGGAAAGCGCTGGTGTTCTGCTGGAGATGTTCAGGAAGTCTTCCAGCAAGAAGAAAAAAATGAGATGGCAGTTTTTTAAGTTGACTTTCTGCCAGGAAGTGGGGAGACCTTGCAGAAAACGCTTCCGCAAGCAGGGTACACAAAGCAGCCATACCACTTTCGCGGTTTGGCACTCTCTACCTGTACATTGCCATCCCCATTTCTGTCTCTTCTCAGTCAGCATTATATGGATGACTGACGGAAGTTTATAACTGGTGGTTACAGCTCTGTCCAGCTGCTACAGTAGCCTTGCAGCTTTGGATTCTTCCCTCTGTAGTCCTTGGGTTTCATCTAACTTCTCAGTAGCTGTGCGTCTGCACTGAACATGTGTCGCTGCTCCTTCTGGGGAGAGTTTGTCAGTGGTGCTGCTTTCAGGTATTTCTTCTGCCTGGCTTTCTGCTGAACTTCGGAGCAGTGTCAGTCTGTTCTCCCACGCTGCAGAAGTGCCTGTTCCTTGGTGTGTTCATTGGCACAGACTTTCTTCCAGTGTGGCTGATGTCTGCAGGGGACCAGCCCTGCCCTACTGAGTGCCAGTGTCCTTCATTGTGAAGGTACAGATCCACTATACTTCTGTACTGGTCCTTAAGGTGCCTTCTGGTTTTTAATGGAGGGAGCCTAACTGTGTTGGTAGTCTTTTTCTTTACACTTTGAGAACAAGCTGCTGAATCTTCAGGAGTGCAGATAACAAGCTTTCCCTGAGAACAGCAATTTGTCTGCTTGTGGACATTTTGTTCATTGACACGCTCTGCTCCCAGGCTAAGACCACAAAGAAGATTGTGCTGAGGCTGGAGTGTGTGGAGCCCAACTGCAGGTCCAAGAGGATGCTGGCCATTAAGAGGTGCAAGCACTTTGAACTGGGAGGAGACAAGAAGAGAAAGGTATGTTTGTGTATCAAGAGTGGCTGAGAAAGGGTGGTGACATTCAGTGGTGAATAAACTTGCTCTGTCTCTTCCTCCTTACAGGGCCAGGTGATCCAGTTCTAAGCTCCATCCTACTTGTTGTTATGGGCCATATTAAAGTGTTTAGAAGTGATCCGTTGCTTGGTTTTGTCTATCTTCTCTTGTTGGTGGGGTGGGACTTCCAAGTACATCAGCCCAACAGGAAGGTGTTGCTTGCAAAGCTGCTTAGTAAATGAACGGTTTGTAATCTGAAGGCTTTTGAAAAAACCCTGCCGATGGCTGGGATCTCCTTACTGTGTTAACACCAAGAGGTGTTGTAGAATATATGTAGAGCCTGAGGCTCTGATGGATTTTTGCACCAGTGGCTTCTCTGCATGAGCATTGTGCTGCTGCTTTTCTCCAGGCTTTTATGAGCTTCCATGGTAGAAGGCTGTCTTCAAAAGGGCCTCCTATAAACTTTTGCAGCTTGTTTCATTTAAAACAGTTCATGTCTGTATTATAGCGGTTCCATTTCAGGAATGCTATGGTGAATTTGAATTGTTGGTAGATGAAGTAGTGATTGGAAAAAAAAAAGCAGAGCTGCCTGAGGAGGCCTTTTTCCTCCAAGCCTTTGCCCAGGAGGAGAGGCAGGTAAGGTTCCTTGCGCCCAGCAATGGTTTCAGCACACTAGGGGCCAGAGTAATCTGAACTCCCGCGAGCAGCCCCTGCGCTTGGCTGTAGGCCCCTCTTCACAAACAGGGAACGGTTGTATGGGGGCAATGCATGAGCAAAGGCTCTGGAGTCGCTGGTGGGTTTAGTACAAGGGACTTCATCTGATGAAGCGTCACCCGCACCATTAGGCCGTAGTTACGTGCTGCGGCTCAGCTGTGACCTGTATGCAGTGGCTGTGAGCGTTATGGTAGCTCAGGGACAGGAAAGGGACAGCTTCGTGTCCATGGCTCCCCCAGCTGCATGCTGTCACACTGAAAGTGATGGTGTGACAGGCCTCAGCTGCCTGCCCCTTGTGTCTGGCTGCTGTTGGCACTTCTTAGAATTTTCCTTAAAAGAAAAAGCCCAAGCACAGCACTGACGTTTCAAATGAGCAGTGACTGATGGGCAACTACCGAGAGTGTGGACAGCCTGCCCTGGGCTTTGATGGGATCGTCCACTTGAGGCAGCAGTATGCTGCTTCTGAGCAGGAAGTCCGCTGTCAGCAGGTGCTGGGAGTGCAATACAGAGCTCTCTCAAGAGTAACTTTCTTGTAGTGGAAGTAGAGCTGGAGGATGGAAAAGTGCCTCTTCCCATCTTCATAGGGACTGAGAGCACTCAGTTACTGAACAGTAACAGAATTTGTGTTTTTATTTATTCAGTACTGGCTGATGTGATTGGCATTTTCAAACTCCTGCTGCTTAAGCTGTTAGCAGCAGTGGCTTTGGCCTCTGCCTGTGAGATGGACTGTATGGCTGCATCGTGTCAGCTTTACTGAGTGCTGTTTGTAGTAACTGTGACAAATTTCACAAGAACTTAGTGACTGGAACAAACCAGCCTGTTTGCTAAAACCCAGTTTAATTTCAGATACCATGCTGTACTCCTGTACAGTGGAACTTAGAAAAAGCTTAGCCTTTTTAAGGGACATAATCAAAGTGCTTAATCACAGAAATAAGAACAAATCAGGATATCCTGATTGTGTAGCAGTCAGAGGAGAACATACTTGTACATGATGGTTGCATAAGTGATTAAGTACCCGTACCCATCATCTCCTGTCTCAGAAGGACCTGTGTTAGTCAACCTAAAGGCTACTGCCAGCAGTGGAAAGCAAGCACACAGATATTTCTGGAAGGCAGCTCGCTGAGGAAGGGGGACCCCAGTGGCCCCATGAAAGGTGGAGAGGGAATTGTCATCTAAAAGGAAGTGACAGCCACTGGTGAGAGGAAGACTCCTGGGGTAAGGAGAAACCCTCAAAAGCTGAGTCCTAAGGCATGATACTTAAGCACACTTGTACTAAGCAGGCAGTTGTCAAGAAAGCAGTTGCTAAGAAGTACAGTGATTTAGGCCAGTCCCTGAGTTGTCAGAAGGTGGAAGTAGATGTCCACGCTCTGAGGAGGGTGTTGGCTTTCTTCAGCAGGGGTAGGAGCAGCTTTTCTTGTTCTTGGACTGTGTGCTCCAGCCTGGCAAAGCAAGAGCAAGGCAGCCAGGGTGTGTTTCCCTGTTGTCCCTGAAATGCTCAAGGAGGGCTGTGAGATGCTGCATGAATCCTTTGCATTTCTTTGGTTGGTAGCGGCAGTGGGTGTTAACGAGTTGCTGCCCTGCTGGGGCCCTTATAGCCCCTTGGAGAAGGAGTTAGGTGAGATGCCAGAGAAAGGGTAAACAGAAGAGAAGTAGTGCCCCTTTCTCTGTTACCTCTTGGTGATGGAGTGATGGGTATTTGTCACATTAGGCTGAAGGTTCACAGTCCACATAGACACACTTGAGTAGTGAATGCCTGAGGAGAGAACAAAGGCACCCCGCTTGGAGGAAGGAGACAGGCTTCTTGTGACAAGAAGTTTAGACAGTCTGGGGCTTACAAAAAGATTGTCTTTGTGTCTCCTATAGTGCCACTACTTTCAGCAGCACGGTGCCTGTTGGGTTCACCTCCACGCTCAGGGAGGAGACCCAGCTGTAAACCCCCCAGTCCCTGCTGGCTGGCAGGACCTGCCGGATGGAGCATGCTGGGTTGCAGGCCAGCCCATTGCCGAGGAAGGTGAGGGAGAAGGTGAAGTTCTGGGGTCCCCCAATCTCCTGCTGGTTCAGCACCGCCACGGCGTAGGCTTGGCCAGACAGGGGCCGCTCCCACAGCTCAAAGTTCTTGTCCTGCCAAGGAGAAAATACATTAAGGGAGGCAGAACTGATGGTCTATGTGCCTGTCTGATTAAGCAGGCTTCAGGAACAAGTGGGCTTGATGAGCTTCTGTTCCCAAACCCTGAGCACTCCTTTATATCCCATGTGTCCCCAGTGTCCCCTTTCTGAGGAGGCTGGCTGCCTGTGCCCCACCCCGCTCCCTGAGCCCAGTCCTGCTGTACCTTGGTGATTTGGTATCCCTGCTTGCCCAGCGGATCCTGGTTGATGGTGATCACCTCTTTGTTCTGGAGCAGCCCTCTGGCCTCAGGACTAATGTGCCGCAGGTCATTGGACATGAAGAGGGGAGCTGCCATAATAGCCCACATTGCCATCTGAGTCACCGCCTGGTCCCAGCTCAGCCCAAAGTTTCCAATCACCAGCTGTGACAAGAAAACAAAAATGCCTGGTAATGCTGCCTGCTGAGGAGAAACTGGGCCACCAATCTGAGCACTGGTAAATGACAGGATGCTGTGGGTGGGACCCCTGTCTGGGGACTAGTTAGATAGGCTGAGCGCCAGGAGCAGGACCAGCTGGTTGGGAAATGCAAGGCATGACTAGTGTGGCAATTTAGGATGAACCACTGGTGGAGGTGAAGCAGGATCCTTAACTGGCTAGGCAGTGTTTAAGAATCTGCTTTTGGATGTAGCTATTCCTTCCTTGCAATGCTGGCACCCAGCCTGGCACCCAGGGGGTTTCCCTCTGGTGGGAGATCAGCACTTTGGAGACTGTCTCCCACTGCCACGCCTATGTTCTGAACTGGCACTGCTTGTAGAGGCTGCATTACACAGAGACAGCACTTCCTCGGTACTGTCCATCGCTGTAGTTCTTTCCCTTTCCAGCCGGGGACCCTCTCATCAGGGTCCTGATCGTAGGGGCCCCGTCAGAGCCTGTCAGTGTTTCTCCCCCGATTCTCTCCCTCCCCATCCTTCTCAGCCTACAGCCGAGGAAAGGATTTTTTGCGGGTGCTGCAGGGGGTGTGGGTTGTTGCTCTACTTGCCATGTCAGGATCATTCCAGCCTCCTGGCCCAGCTATCTTCACAATGCTGTCCTGGTGAAGTGCTGTCCAGTCCAAGATACTCTTGATGCTGCTCCAGGAATCGTAGACATCAAAAAAGTTCCTCCAGTGATTGCAGTACTGTTTGATCTCTGTGTAATTGGGCTGCCAAAACAATGAGTGTGATTAGCCAGAGAGCCTGGCTGTACAAGAACAAGACCGTACACAAGGCTTGACTGGATCAGGGATAATTTGGGGGAGAGCTATGATAACACCTTCCATCACCAGCTATCTGGATGACCTAGTGCATGTTTGTTCCCTAGAATGCCTTGTGCCCAGTAACTCCAGTCTCCCTCACTCCAGACAATACTATTGTTTCCCTTGGGAGAATAGTTGTGGCCACCAAGCTCTGTTAGAAAATTCCTTTGAGTGCTATTTTATGGAAGGCGTGATGGGGCCAGTGGGATCCCAGTAATTACTGCCATTTCTTGGGTTTACACCCTTCGGTGACTAATGCATTTAACTTCCAGTGGGAGGCAATGGCAGCATCCTGTCATGGCGGCACAGGGGAAGCCAGCTATGGGTGGAGAGCAACATGTCGGTCATGGACCCTGGCTGGCAGAAATCTGTTGGTAAACAATGTGGAGAATTCCCATTAAATAGGCTGTCCTAAAGTCTCTCTCCTGGTCCCTAGAGGTGACTGTAAGGTGTGAGTCTGCAGCACTCTGCATCCAGGAGGAATAACACCCAACTATCCATGAGCTGTGTGTCTGCATTGCCAATGTTTTGTTGCTTGGTTCCTTGGAGACCGAAAGCAGATGGATGCTGCTCTGTTCTTTGGCGTGCTCCAGCTGGGCTGTGCCTTCATGCTGCAGGATCCTACTGAATTCTTTTCAGCAGAGTAATGACTCGCCTCAGATATACTTCAGGTCCTCCACCTTACAGTCTTGTTTTCTGTCAGACCAGGGAGCAGCAAGTTTCTCGGGAGGCTGTTTTGCAGTCTTAATGCTTTTCTGTTCTTCCCACTTCCAGCCCCAGGATAAGCCTTGAGAAACACTCCTTACCTGCTGCACGGGCCTCAAGTAGAAGGGCCACTCGCAGGAGTACACAATGCTCCTTCCAGTCTTGTTCAGGGCCAGGGACATGCGCCTGTAACCTGAAGGAAGAGGACAGACAGAGGTTACACAACCTCCTTGGTCAAACAGAGGAACTAATCCAATGTCACAAGTTCAGGTTTCAGTTCAACTCTTGCAAAATCAAGGCTGAACACATGCTCACGGCTGA